CCATGCCCCGCTGCCTGTCTGTGCTGGGTCCAGCCAAGGGTTTGTCTTATTAACCCAACTCCACTACCGCTCACTTTAATTTTGGAGACCAATGGGGTGCTCATTCTGCAGATGTGTTTTTGTTTTTGTTTTGAGATAGAGTCTCTGTCACCCTGGCTGGAGCGCGGTAACACAATCTCGGCTTACTGCAAGCTCCTCCTCCTGGGTTTAAGCAATCCTCCCACTTCAGCCTCCCGAGTAGCTGGGACTACAGGCATGCGCCATCATGCCCAGCTAATTTTTGTATTTTTGGTGGTAGCGGGGTTTCGCCATGTCACCCAGCCTGGTCTCAAACTCCCTGGATTCAAGTGATCTGCCTGCCTCAGCCTCCCAAAGTATTGGGATTACAGGCATGACCCACCGTGCCTGGCCAGATCTTCATGTTTTAAAAGGCCACTTGCAGGCCAGGTGTCATGGCTCCTACCTGTAATCCTAGCACTTTGGGAAGTCAAGGCGGGTGGACTGCTTGAGGCTAGGAGTTCAAGACCAACCTGACCAACATGGTGAGACCTCATCTCTATTAAAAAAAAAAAAAAATATATATAGTTAAATATATATATACACACACATATATATGTGTGTGTATATATGCATGTTTATATGTATGTGTGTGTGTGTATACACACACATATATGTGGACACTTGCAGAGAATGAACAGAGGTCGTGTGTGTATATATATATATAGCCATTTATATATATATTTATGTATATATATATATATACACACACACACACACATATATGGGCACTTGCAGAGAAACAGCAGAGGTTCAAGCTCTAATATGGGAAATTGAGGCAAGAGGCGTGGGGAGGCTCTGGGATCTCTCCAAATCACACCCACTCTATGAGTCCATGGTGTAATGCCAGCACGATCTACACAGGACTTGGAGCTGCATTCTCTAGTCCAAAAACAGGCTTGGGGCTTGGGTCCAGGGCTCAGGCCTGGAATCCAGGGGCTGAGATGATGGGGCTGGTGGGTGCTATCAGGTGGAAGATGAGCCAACAGGGACCTATTCCTCTTGCAGTTTCTTGTGAACTGTAACAGCATCCAGAATCTGCCCACCTTGACCTTCATCATCAATGGTGTGGAGTTCCCTCTGCCGCCCTCCGCCTATATCCTCAGTGTAAGTCCTGGTCCCTGCAGGCTGAGCCACCACGATTGGGGGTGGGAGTAAGGGCTGGGGAGCTGGAAATGCTGGATCTCCTGCCTTGTACCATTTTCCAACTCCGTGCTGCACGCATTTATCTTTCCCATGCATTGATTCTAAATCCCTTTCTCCGGAACAAGGCTATGAAATAGAAGATTGTCATCTATGATCAATGACTATTCTAGTGGGGAGAGGCACTGGGCTCTTTGCTGGGCACTTACTAGGGCAGATCACTGTGCAAAGCACTTTGCTTCATGATTCCACTTAATTGTCACAGTATTTGATGAGGGAGATATTCATTTTTGTTTTACAAATGAAACCTTCGAGGTTGGGAGATGCTGAGTAACTGACTCAAGGTGACACAGCTGAGGTTTGAATCCAACTTAGTTTGGCTCCAAGGTGGAACCACCAGGCTGATCTGCTCCAAATCGGGAACAGGAGGGAGGTCTGTGGGCAGAGAAGTTTCCCACCATGGGGAGAGGAGGCTCTGCTGAGGACCACCACAGCCTGAATGTACCTATTCCAGAAATCCTCCCACCAGCTCTGCGCTGGTGGCTCAGTTGGCTGTGAGCCCTAAAGGCAGAGACCCTGGTTCCCTCAGCTCTGCACTTGTTCTCCCAGACTGGGGCTCTGAGCTGAGCAGGGCATGTGTGAACAAATGAATGAGTGCTGCCTTTCTGTGTTGGGCAGAACAATGGCTACTGCACCGTGGGAGTCGAGCCCACCTACCTGTCCTCCCAGAACGGCCAGCCCCTGTGGATCCTCGGGGATGTCTTCCTCAGGTCCTACTATTCCGTCTACGACTTGGGCAACAACAGGGTGGGCTTTGCCACTGCCGCCTAGACCTGTTGCCTGGACGCATGTGCTCCTTCTTCCTCTTGACCCTGCACCCCCCTGGGGTATTGTCTCTGGCTCTCCACTATGGATTCAGCCTTCCTTTTCTGGACTCTGGACTTTCTCTAATAATAAATAGTTCTTCTTTATGTTGGTCATCCTGTTGTTTTTGGAAGGGAGTTTTCTCTGAGGGACTAGGAAGTTTCCTGGTGGGTCACAGTGATTCTAAGAGAAATGGGACCTAAGGCAGGGCTTGGGATGGGCTCTGTAACCCTCAGAGCTTAAAGTTCACACTTTTCCCCTGGAAAGGGAAGATAGTAGCACTACCATGGGTGGGTGGGTGGCAGGGGGAGAGTGTTCTTGTGTGGTGGGCAAAGAGGCCCCACTCTAATGACCTAAAATGCTCTGCTGGCCAGGCGCAGTGGCTCATGCCTGTAATCCCACCACTTTGGGAGGCCAAGGCGGGTGGATCACTTGAGGTCAGGAGTTTGAGACAAGCCTGACCAACATGGTGAAACCCCGTCTCTACTAAAAATACAAAATTAGCCAGGTGCGGTGGCACACACCTGTAATCCCGGCTACTAGGGAGGCTGAGGCAGAAGAATCACTTGAACCTGGGAGGTGGAGGTTGCAGTGAGCCCGAGATCACACCATTGCACTCTAGCCTGGGCAACAAGAATGAAATTCCATCTACCTAAAAAAAAAAAAAAAAAAAATTAAACAAATAAAATAAAACGCTCTTCTGACCTGATTTACCGAACTACCGCCAGAACTACCCCAGTGACATGGGGACCCACATGTATGTCTACTAGCAGTGTGATTAGTGGTCTAACACCCCCTACAACTAGATGGCTGTCTCCTCACCTGTTGATCAAGTTTGGAGTAGAAGTTTCTGAGAAATTCTAGGTGCCTATGTGCACCTGTAACAGTCACGGGGTTCTTTATAGAGGAAGGTGATGCTGCCAGAAACTATTTCTTGAGGAGCTTCAGAAGGCCAGGGTGGTTAGGCTGATTGTTGTTGTTTTGAGACGAAGTCTTGCTCTGTCGCCCAGCTGGAGTGCAGTGGCACGATCTCGGCTCACTGCAACCTCTGCCGACAGGGTTCAGGTGATTCTCCTGCCTCAGCCTCCCGAGTAGCTGGGACTACAGGCGTACGCCACCACGCCCGGCTAATTTTGTTGTATTTTAGTAGAGACGGGGTTTCACCATGTTGGCCAGGATGGTCTCTATCTCCTGACCTCGTGATCCGCCCGTCTCGGCCTCCCAAAGTGCTGGGATTACAGGCGTGAGCCACCGCCCCCAGACAGGCTGACTGTATTTTTACCCAGGCCCCTATGTCCCAGGATGTATTTGAAGAGCTGCCTCTCAGCTGTGGACCAGAGGGAGAGGTACTTGAGTCACAGAGAAATTGAGCCTACGTGCTCTAACCAACTCAGCAAGGCATCTTGTCCCTTTGGACGTCATCGCTGTTCTCCTCAGGGGCCTCCTAGCAAAAGATCCAGAAACTAGAGGCGACATGGTTTGTGGGGAAGGAGGAGAGGGAGGAAGAAAAAGAGAAGGGAAAGAAGGAAAGCGGGGGAGGGGCAGGGGGAGGAGACAGGGAAAAAGGGGCGGGGAAGAGGAGAAAGTAGAGAATGATGCCTCCACACCTTGTTAACTTCCAACAAGGGAAGGTGACATGAAAGGAGATCAGACAATATCTGTCCAGCAACATGACAGCAAGCTGCAGCTGGTGAGTGGGGCATGAATGTGTAACCCATAATAGGGGCAGGCTGCCTTCTACGGTCATATTTTACCCTGTCCTTCACCAGGCTCACCCGGGCCTTGCCCCTTATGAGCATGGGCAGGGATAAAAGCGCAAGACGCAGGTCCTGCACCCCACTCCTGGAGAGAAACTGGAATTTGCCACGAGTGGAGTTTCTATGGCAACAGCATACTATCTGGGACCCTGTTTCTTTCTCAGACTGCCGAAGGACAGCCGGCTGTAGGTTCCTTCTAGGGGGTCGGACAGGCCACAGAATGTATCGTAGTGAGCCCTTGTTTGGGACATTACTGAGAGGAGAAAGAAAACTTGTAAAGGGGTAGAAGTGGAACAAGAGCCTGTTTGTAAGCCTTGGCCCGCTGAGCCGGACTACAAATCCCGGCGTACCCAGCGGGACTGCAGCGAGTACTACGCTTCCCAGTGGGCGCCGCGGCAGAGAGGCTGGGAGGCGGGGCGGGTGCTGCCCTCTGCTGGACGCGGAGGGAAGTGGGCGCGGAGTGACAGCCGAGCCCGGCGCCGGGCGCGGGGCTCGGTGACAGCAGAGGCGGCGGCCCGGGCGGGACGCAGGGAGCGGCCGCGGCGCCGTCGGCGGCGGGAAGGGCGCACGGGGCGGGCCTCCCTGGTGGCACGGGGCCGGAGCAGCCCGGTAGCAGGTTGCGGGCACAGCTTGTGGGCCAGGCACCCGAACTTGAGACAAGTTGCCGGAGCCGCGGGGCGCGGGCGGCGGACAGATTGACCTTCAGAGCGAGGTGAGCGGGGCCGGGGGGCGAGAGGCGCGAGGAGGGTCCGGGACCCACGACCCAGGCTCCCTGGCCCCTATCCAGTGGGTCCCGGAGACAGGTGGGCGGGTGGGGGATGCCCGCAGGAGAGGGGAGCGGGACGGTGCGCGCCACCACCCACCCCGCGGTTCGTCCGCGCCCAGGCGCCCAGCGCGTGGCCCGAGCGGCGCTGCCCGCCGAGCCGGGACCCCCTCGGCCCCTCCCTTCAGCCGCGGGCCGGGGGCGGCTGCTCCGCGACCTTATGTAACCGGGCGGGAGGGGCCGGGCGGGCACGGGCCTTCCCGGCCCGGAGCTGGGAGTCGAAGGGGCGGGAGGCGTGGGAGTGAACTTGCAAGAAGTTTGAGGGACGCGCGGGCCCCGCGCCCACTTCCCCTCCACCGGACGCGGCCGGGGCCCGCGACGCCGGAGAGGGGGTCGGAGGTAGGGGAGGTGTGCGGGGGCCGAGTCTGGCCAGGCCTGCGGGGGAGTGGGAGGGCCGGAGTGGCGCCACGCCCCGGGGGCTGGACTGCTGGGGGGGCGGGTGGAAGTACCATCTCTCCCTCCCTCCCCGTCCCTTCCTCTAGCTCCGTCTCTGGAAGAAGCCGCCCCTGGCCCTGTCCCTTCGAGTCCCTCCCTGGGCAGCCTCTTTCTCCCCGTGCGTTATTCCATGACCCTGGGGAACACCAACCCCGGAGCTCTCCCTCCGTGCGCCCGGTTGTCTGCCTCCCCCGGGAGCTCCCAGCCGCCGGCCCGCCCCACGAGTTTCCTCCTCCCCCGTCTCGGTCCTGAATCCCGGAAAACACGCCCCCTTCCCCCCGATCCGCCCGAGTCCGCGCCGCCCACCCCGGGGCTGTTCCGACCAGCTCTGGCCCAGCGCATCCACTCGCCTCCTGGAAGGGAGCGGGCAGATGCCAGCTCGGCCCCCACCCCTCGCCCCCTCCCCTCGCGGGGTTCCGGCTTCACGCACGGCTGCCCCGAACTGCTCCGGGCTGCGCGAGCAGGTTCGCGCCGCAGCCGCCTGGCGCGCCCCAGCCCCGCGCCCCGGGGGAGTAAGAGAGGGCGCCAGGGGCGGGACTCGTCTGCGGGAACCCTACTGGGTCCAGGGCCCCGCCCTCCTCCAGCCCCTGGCCGCTGCGCCTTCCCCCGACCCCCCCACAGCTCCAGCCGTCGTTCTCTCGCCTGTCTGTTCTGGGGACCGTTCAGCGTGGAGTTTCTGCACTCTACTTGAGCGCAGTTTTTGGCCTAGCGCTTGCTTGCAAAGTGCAGGTTAATTACTACTGCGTAGCTCCCATCCTCTGCCTTTCCCCCATCCCGAGTGAGGGGTTGCTTCATCCCTCAGGGAAAGTGACAAGACCCGTGCAGGCCCCTAGTGACACCTCTGGGGTGTGGCCTCAGGCCCCTGCACACGCCCTGTTCGAGATTCCATTGGCCCAGACCTGGTACTCCTGGGCACCTGGGGATGAGGTGGGTGGCTGGTCTCTGGGTTCCTCCTGGGTGGCCAGATGCGGATGCAGCTGGGTTAGAACGCAGTACTTGGTGTCCCAACTGGGAGATAGCCCTCAGGCCTCCTCTCAGGGAGGGGAGGGACAGCCAGCATTAATTCCTGGCCGGCCAGCAGAGGCAGAGGAAGGGGAAGGGTCAGCTGCCCTGAGGTCCCTGCCTGCTAACCTGATGGCATGTTTTCACCATGCCGGTGTTCTTAGCCCCAGGACTATGAGCAACTCGCCTGGCTCCCTTCTTTCCCTCTGCCTCCTGGCCGCTGGGCCTGGAGAGCTGGGAGCCAGAGGGTGTCAATGAAGGGCAGGGCTGTTTGGGTGACTCCATGCTCTGCTCCTCCCCGAGGGAAGACAATGCTGCTTACCGTTTACAAGGCCGGTTACAGCTGCAGGCCTCAACTCAGCTCCAAAAGGCAGAGCCAAATGGGGACTCAGGTATCTTGGTTCTGGGTCCCCTGGAAGGAGTTCAGGGGATAGGGCAGGGGACACCTTAGCATTGAACCCAGAGAGAGCCAGCTGGGCTTTTGCGGGCTAATGGCCTGGTGACTCACAGTCAGAGGTGGGCAGGGAGTGGGCCAGGGCAGGCAGGAGCCCTTCCAGAGTCCTGCATGCGCTGCCACAGGCCTACTTGGCCTGTTTCTGGAAAGCGGGGAGGTAGGTGGAAGGGGCCGTCCACCCCTCAAGCCTGGCTGCCCTTTGAGGGTCTAGCTTCTGGCCCTGAGCCCTCCTGGGGCTCTGTTTATGGCTGTAATTGCATCATTAGCCAGAGTTTATAGAGTTACTTAGCACCTGCCCCCACAGGGAGTGGCCCAGCCACCCCCTGGCTTCTGTCTCTTCCTTTTCAAAGTCAACTCGGTTTCTCCCGGCAACAGGGGTTTCCCCAACCACAGCTGTCATGAAAACCAGGTTGGGCCTTTGTCCTGGGGATGGAGGGCAGTCAGCACTTGGGGCCCAGCTTGGGGCTGCCCTGGAGATGACCATGGAAGTTGGGCTGGCCTCCTCTGATCGGAAGGAGGGAGTTCACGGTTCTCAGAGCTGCCAGAAATGCCCACATCCCAGGATGCTGTGAACATGTATGCATGCATGTGCTGTGCGGATCCTCATCTGAGAGGAGGGAGATGAAAACACACCCATCTCACAGGCTGCTGTGAGGACTAAGGGGGCGGCAGTGCCCGCTATGTGGTGAGTACGTGAGGTTGCTTTCTGGGTTGGCGTGGGGTTTAGGTAATGGTTGTGAGTTTGTGTGTGCGGTTAAGTGTCTAGGAATATGGGTATAGATGAATTGTGAATATGTGTCTATAAGAATGTAACAATAAAACAAGATTATATTCATAGAATATTCAGCTCCTCTCTTATGCTATTATATTGTAATAACAATATGATAATAAGATTTATTGTACAATAGTTGCCAATATTTATTGTGTGTTTACTCTTTGGAGTGAGGTGGGAATTACTGTTTGCATTACACTTACTCAGAGAAGTTAAGCAAGTTACTTAAAATCACACAGCCTGGAAGTGACAGGATTGGGATTTTAACCCAGGTCCAATTGACTCCAAAGTCTGTGTTCTCAGTCCCTAAAGAAAACCACTTCTTCAAAGGGTTTCCTAGGAGTTCTCTCTTGAAAGATGGGGGTGTGGTGGTCTGGAGACCTTCTTTTCTCTATCCAGAGTTTCCTGCTCTAAGCAGGGTGGGTCTTTTGGAGTCCTAGGTGGGAAGATCACTGGAGTCCAGGAGTTCGAGACCACCCAGAGTAACATAGTGAGACCTGGATTCAATTGAAAAAATAATTTGTATGAAAAAAAAAAAAGCAGGGTGTGAACTTGCTGAGGCCCCTGTTCTGGCGCCATACCTGTTTCCTGGCCTTTCTTCTGAGCTGCCAGCATGAGTGACCAAAGGACCCCCAGCTGGAACCTGCCCTGACTGGCCAGGGTGGGACCTTGTGGGCTTTGGAAGCCCCAGACGCCCAGGAAGGGAGGAGGCTTCCTTACTGACGGCTCTGTGCCATGCACTCCACGTCTGTTAACTTACAGTGCAGCCCTCAGCGGGCACTTGCTTAATCAGATGTGCAGAAGAGGCTGTGGGGACCGCTGGGTGAGAATGGGACAGCAGTGGAAGTCATAAGAGCACTGGACCAGGAGTCAAGAGACCCCACTCTGCCTCTGACTGGTTGTGTGGCTGGGCCTGTCTCTGCTCTGTTCAGCCTCAGTTTCCATATCTGTGAATCTGGATCATCTGTGGGATTCCCTCCAAAGCGAACCTTTTACAAATCTTTGCCAAAGACACTGGGGAGGACGAGACTTCAGAAAGGAAGGGGTGAGGGGAGTGGGTTGTTGGGGGTGTTTGGGAGATGCTGCAGTCCGTAGAGTTGATCTTTAGCTAAAGACGGGTCCCAGTGGAGCAACCAGGCAGTTTTTCTTGGGACAGCCATTGCCACCATATATTGAGCACTGGGCCAGTGTCACCTGGTCAGGGGGTTGTGGAGAGCATGGGCTCTGGGGCCAGGCTATGTGGCTTGGAGTCCCAGTTCTGCCACTTACCACTGCGTGGTAACCTTCTTAACCCCAGTTAAGGAGCCTCGGCAACCTTCTTAACCCCAGTGTGCCTCAGTTTCCACACCTAAAAAGTGGGATTCTTACAGCAGCACCCACTTACTAGTGCTGTAGTGAGGGCTGACTGAGTATGCTGGTGCTGATGAACGTGGTGTACTTAGAATAGCGCCTAATGAACTCTTATGGCTCAGTGAGTTATTTCTCATTCTTAAGTGAGGAAATGGAGGCATGCAGAGCTCTAGGGAAGGAATAGAGACCTATGGGTTGCAAACAGGCCTCCGCATGTGTCTAACGTCCTCTGATGTGATGTTTTACGTGGGGCTTCACACCACTCTCTGTCCTGCCATACCAGCCTTCTCTCCTCATTGAACAAGAGGGTGCAGGGGGCTTGGCAATGCCTGCAGCATCGGTACCACCCCTGCCCTGCCCCTTGGGTTTCCCTGGGTAGCAACTGGGCTGGCCACTGACCGCACACTCCTAGGTGTGGCTGTCCCCTGCCCTCCTACTGTCTGTGCCCCCTCCATTCTGTACCAGAGATACAGATCCCCTTGGCTGTGATGTCACTGAGGGCAGAGATAAAATCGCAGTGATAGGGATCTGGGACTTATCATGCCCACAGGAAATGCTTTGATGTGGAGTGGCACAGTAGTGGATGAGAGCAGAGGGCAGCCAAGAGGAGCAGAGGCAACGGGCAGCGTCGTCACTGACTTTCCTTCCTGGCTCTTAAGTGTGGGCTTAAGGAGGAGAAATGAGTTCTGGCCACCCATCCTTTGTCCAGCGTTCTTAGGGGGATAGCCACCTGGCCCCGTAAGTTCTAGCACCTGCTTGCTGGCCATGCAGGCCACCTGGTTGGCTCTTATGCACCCAGTGGTGGTCCCAAAGTAAGATGTGGTGCTGTAGGGAGTAATCTAGGAATTCCACCAGACAATCCATCCAGAAACCCATGGCTTATATTCCCTCCTCTTAGCCCTTCCTTGCTCCTTCCATGTAAGCAAATCTTTCTCTCCATCAGGGCGCGCCTTTCCGAGAGACTAGGGGGCTGTTCCACCTTATTGCAGCCTGGCAGGATATTATGATCACCTGGAGAGTTCTTAGACAGTACCATTGCATCTGAATCTCTTGGGGAGGGGCCTAGGCATCATTGCTTGTTTGTTTGTTTATTTATTTATTTTCTGGAATGATTCCATAGTCCTTTTTCTAGGGCAGTGGTTCTCAAATTTGGGCATGCATGAGAACTCCCTGGAGGAATTGTTTAAACACAGATGCTGGGTCCCTCCTGGTGTTTCTGCAAATTCCATGCAGTCTAGAATTTGAATTTCTGACAATTCATCACCTCTGGTGATGCTAATGCTGCTGGTCCCCAGAGCACACTTGGAAAACCACCGCCTTTGGGGCATGCCCCTTTGCAGCTACCCAGGTGAGAGCTGCCCATCTCCTGGGTTCTGTGCCTCTGACTTTGGGCCTGGTAGGCCTATCCCCTTTCGAAGGCAGGTCCCCAAGGGCGGGGACCACTTCTGAGACAATTTGGTGTCCCCTCTACAGTCAGTCCTTCCCCCTTTCTCCACCTGTCCCCACCTGCCATGAGACTCTCCACTGTTTGGCCTTGTGGCTCTTGGTCCCACTCTCTAGGACAAGCGCTTAACACTGCATTGGTTGATGAAGCCCGGATGAGGCGGACAAACAAGGATGGCACTAGCTGAGGGGATCAGGGTCTGAAGCTGCTGCGAAGGTACATGGCACTAAAGTAGCATTGTTGCAATAATTGGGGAAGTGTTCAAAGAGGACCCTCACTTTGCTGAAGGGAGGCTCTTCAAATACTTCCCATTAGTTTACTTTCCCACCCCATGGAGGGCAAGTATTTCACTCCAGCTTGAATCGTAGTTCTTGTTAACAGCAAAAATGATAAAGGCACACACAGAAAGAGGCTCTTCCCTTTTTCTTTCCTCTCCCAGACCAGAGTTGTAGGGAGGGCTGGGGGAGGGTCCCTCGTGGGGGTGGTGGAGTCTGTCATCTTCTAGGAGGTCCTGGTCCTCGAGAGAGCAGATCACTGGGAGAGCCTGGGGGCCGGCCGCATCTGTGGAAACTGAAGGGAGTTGGGGTGAAGCCTGGTAGGAGTGAGGAGAGGTGGCAGGTCCCATACCCTGCTGCGGGAAAGGCAAGGTAGGGCGGGGAGTGGGGGCAAGATTGGCATCTGAGCTAGTCAGTCTTCAGGGGACTAGGGACAGGGGTTTGGTGTGTTTTGGTCCATGCTGAACCCCCAGCATCTAGAAGAGAGCCTCATGTATAGTGGCTGCTCAATAAATCTTTGTGGAATGGATGAGAAAATGGGACTAAGTCTCCATCGTGTGCCCAGAAATGCAAAACACAAAAAAATGCTCCGTCTACCGTATTTACCCTGCAGGTGCTTCACCAGGGGTCCTGCCCACAGCTCCGAAAGGTGCTGAGCCCTCTGCCTCTGCCTGCCTCCCTCCCCTCACAGTGATCCAGGCCCAGCCTCTTAGTGTGGGGCTCAGTCTGTTCCTCCCTACAAAGAGTCTGTCAGCACCTTCCCCACCCCCCTCCCCGAGTTCTACCAGTGGGTCTGTGGGGTAGGGCTCCGGTTCGTTTTCTCCTGTTTGCCAAGGGAAGTCACAGCCTGTCCTTTGCCTTGTTTATAATTGCTTTAAGGACAGCACCTGCCACGGCCCCCCACAGTCCCTGAGGGGTGCAGAGTAGCCAGGAGGTGACACACTATACTGTCCACCCCCTGCTGCCTCTTGTTCCCTCCCGGCTCTAGCCAGGTGCACTTTCTGCTGCCCTGCCAGGACGGCGCTGCTGGCTTTGCTTTGGAACTAATTGGAGCTGTAGAGCTGGGGGCCTTAGAGGGCAGCTGGCGCTGTCCCCATGTTGTCGAGAGGAGGGGACCAAGGCCCAGCGATTCAGCAGTGCAAGGTGTTCAGTGTCAACAGGCATGTACTGAGCACCTCAGAGGTACCCGGGGCTGGGCTGGCCAAGCAGGGCAGATGGGAACAAGATCACAGCTTGTCCCGCAAGGCGCCGATGAATCTTAGCCAGGGAATCTTAGTAACCACAGAGGGCAGAGAGGGGCAGAATGCAAGAAGCTAGGGTAGACTAGCCATACTAAACAACATAAGCATGGCGACACCTGCCTTTTGCCCTGAAGAGCATTCTCCTTGGGCCTCTTGCTGGCACAGAGACCTTGACTCAGCGTGGTTTAGGCCTTCAGCCCTTTACACCATCTGGGCCCCAGAAAGGGCAGCTCTACTGCTCCCTGAGCCCTCTCACCTGGGAGTCACCTCTGCAGGTTCCTTTCTGGACAAGTCCTTCCTTCCAGGAGGACTAGAGGGTGCTGGAGTCTTTGCGAGGAGGCTCTGAGCCACCCACCGGCCACTTGGAAGCCCTGGGGCCATGGGGAGATGTGGTGCTGGATCAGAGCTGACAACTTGGGTCCCTTTGGACCTGCCAGTGGTGGGGCCTCCACGCTTGGGCCTGGAACCCGGGGACAGTGCCTCGTGCCTCTGTCCTCCCCACCTCCAGAACCTTTTTTGGAGTGTTTGGAGACAGACACTGTCTGTGCCTGTTTTTTGTTTGGAGACAGACTCTCGCTGCGTTGCCCAGGCAGGAGTGCAGCGGCACAATCTTGGCCCACTGTAGCCTCAACCTTCTGGGCTCAAGTGAACCTCTTACCTTAGCCTCCCAAGTAGCTGGGACTATAGGCATGTGCCCCACACCTGGCTAATATTTAAAAATTTTCTTACCATGTTGCACAGGCTGGTCTCAAACTCCTGAGCTCAAGTGATCCACCTGCCTCGGCCTCCCAAAGTGCTAAGATTACAGGCTTGAACCATCACACCTGGCCACAATTTTCCTCCCCTCTACCCTCTGTCACCTTCCGAGCCTCCATCTAATTCCACAGCATCTGCAGCCTTGGTGTATCTCTGTCTCTCCTGCTCTTTGTTTCCTTCTCTCCTTCCTCTTTATTTCCTTCTCTGCCGCCTTCCTTCTTTTGATGTGTTCGAAGAATGACCAGGGTCCGCCCCCCAGGACCTTTTTCCTAGTGAGCCTCCGAGTCCTACGGTCAGGGGCCCTGAGGGATGGTTCACAGTAGGGTGAGGTGGCTGCGAAGGTGCCCAGCCTGACGCAACCCCCTACCCGTGGCCAGGAAGGGTGTGTGGTGGCTGGGACATCCTGGGCGGGTGGCAGGTGAAAGAGGCTAGGGTAGCCGGCTCCTGTGTGTTGAGGGGCAGCCAGCAGCCTGGGCCAGCTGGGGGAAGGGACCCTCCCGAGACAGCCCCAGGCATTATCAGTACTCTAGACCTCTGCCTAACTATAGGTTGTCATCCACTTCTTTGGACCTAATTACAGTGTTTTGCAAAACTAGGTATGGGAAGAAAATACTAGAACTCCTTTATCTATTTACTTATATCTCATCCTTTTCTTTTAAAATTGTGAAATATAGCATAGTTGCTTAAAAGACGATAAACATACACATACAATTTAGTAAATAATTATAAAAGTGAGCCCCTAGGCAACCATCACCAAGTAAATAAACAGAATGTAGCTTGTACGCCAAAATCAACGTGCGTGCCCTCCGTCCCCGGAGGTGACCACTATCCTCAGCTGTACGATAATCAGCTCCTCATTTCTCTTATGGTGTAATCACCTATGGCTGCATCCCTTAGCTGTCAAGTTTAGTTTTGCCTGACTCTGAATTTAATACAGATGGAATGGCACCGGACATGCTCTTTTATACCATGCTTTTCCCACCGAACGGTGTATTTGTGAGAGTCATTCATGTTGTCTATAGCCGTAGTCTGTTAACTTTCTTTTTCTTTTTTCTTTAGACGGAGTCTCGCTCTGTCTGTTGCCCCGGCTGGAGTGCAATGGCATGATCTCAGCTCACTGCAAGCTCCACCTCCCGGGTTCAAGTGATTCTCCTGCCTCAGCTTCCCAAATAGCTGGGATTACAGGTGCTTGCCACCACGCCCAGCTAGTTTTTGTACTGTTAGTAGAGACCAGGTTTCCCCACGTTGGCCAGGCTGGTCTCAAGCTCCTGATCTCAGGTGGTATGACCATCTTGGCTTCCCAAAGTGCTGGGATTACAGGCCGGAGCCACTGCACCTGGCTCATGTGTTTATTTTCATTTTCCTTGCTGTGTAGTAGCCATCCTGCTACTCATGGATATTTTGGTTGCTTTCCTTTTGTGGCTATTACGAACAAGGCTGTAAAATATCCTTGAATGTGCGGGGTGCAGTGGTT